CACCTGGGTGGAGAGAGGCACTGTGAGAGTAAAGTGTTTTGCCCAAGAACACAACACAATGTCCCCGGCCAGGGCTCAAACCCGGACTGCTTGATCCGGAGACGAGCGCACTAACCATGAGGCCACCGTGCCTCCCCTTATTGGAGAGTACAGTGTAGAAATTGTGGTTACTGGATGCATTAAGTCATGCCCACATTTCAATATCCTTGGATTCCCACAAGCATATACAACTTACTGTAGTTTGGTCAGGAGGACGTTAAACTAGCAAAGACTGAGATGTGCGTTGCTTATAAGTTTGACTTGTAAACTTTAGTTTTTTAAACTGATATCAAAGTATTCATTAACTTTTTAATTTGTCACTTGAGTCATGTTTCATTATCATGACGGCAACGGTAACAAGGTGATACATGGCGGACAGGCCTTCCTTTCACGTACTTTCACCAATGATTGTGTTGAAGCACTTATTACACAGCCAAATCTCTTACTAGTGTCACCCTTTACAAGTGGATTGGGTTTCAGGTTCACATGAAAAATGGTATTAATAATAATTGTGTATTAGTTCATGGTGATAGAATTTTGTTTTCTTTTGAAGGTCGTTGGATGGAGTTTTGAACCCTGAAATAAAGAATGCACATGTACCGAAGTGGAACTATGTTTTGTTACGTTTTCAGGTATACTTTAGTACTATTTAGGGTTTATAGAGTTTGTTATCTTGCAAAGTATGGTCGGAATTTTTGCTGTTTCTTTCAGAATATGGGTGGCTCACAATGCTGTCTTATATGCCTGGGTATGTTGTGGTTCAATTTTTTCAAACCAGTTTTTTTCACTTTTTTTGACATGCACACCACCCATCCTTCATCAGTCCTTAACCCTTTCCTACCCCCCTCAGTTTCTAATCCTACCTTATCCCCTCCAGGATCCCATATCAACCCCGCTACATTTATCATACTACTCCCAGATTCCCCCTTCCCTTAAGCTGGTTTAAAAAAAATTTAAAGCAGAGGTAAAAGTTGAACCATAACAGCTACAAGCTTTGTCCCTTCCCTGGTGGTAAATATTTCAAGAATACTTCATCTGGCCTGAACAAAAACTCAATCAGTCATTTTCTTAGTTACAGAACCCCTTTAATACGGCAACCTTGTTAATATGACCATTTTTTGTGGCCTGTTGGTGACTAGATTAATGGGCTTCCACTGTAGTTAATAATTTTTTGCTGGTTAAATTGTCAGTGAAATGAGTAATTCTGAAGTAAAATCTCTCTTTCTTTGCTAGATTTTTCTGGTGTATTTCTATGCCGGCATAAAGAAGCTTGACATGGATTGGATGACTGGATACTCCATGAGTGGCCTGTCTCGTCAGTGGGTCTTTGATCCATTCCGCCTTTTTCTAGATGATGAAAAAATTGACCTCTTCCTTGTCCATATTGGGGGTTTATGTTTTGACCTAGCAGAGGGTTTTCTTCTCATCTTTGACAAGACACGCCCCATTGGAATTTTCTTTGGTGCCATGTTCCATGGCATGAATTCCCAAATGTTTCACATTGGAATGTTCCCATATGCTATGCTGGCCACGTTACCTCTGTTTTGTGCTTACAACTGGCCCAAGAAGTTATTTGCATGCATGCCAAACTTCATCAGTAAGATGTTACCTTCGCAAGAGGAACCTCAAGTGAGCGTTCACTGTGTATACCCAGAGTCTGTTAATGATCAGAAAAAGGATCAAGACCACGGCAAAACATCAAAAACCTCAAAGAAATGCCAGACACCAACAGCTAGTCACATGGCTTCTGTGTTCATTGTTCTTGTTTACATTGGGTGTCAGCTCTTCCTTCCATACTCACACTTTATCACTAAGGTACAGCAACTCATTGTGTCCACACATTTAGTGNAATCAGATTCGAGAATTTTGAATTAGCTTCAGTTATTCTTTTAACGGGTAATGCCACGTACCTTTTTGGTGGCAAGGTGCAACATTCCATTTGCAACGTCTCTTGCGATCCTTAGTTTGTCGATTTGTGAAGAATCATGACACTTGTCGTTTACATAAGGGTTTTTTCTGTTTTTCTTCAAGTGAGTCAACAGACAACCATTCTCAGCCAACCGAACCACCACCAATATTGGCCCTGGTTAAGGTAATAATGTTTAAACTTTAGTAAAGTCGCTCAGTAAATATTAATGAACTGCAGTGAGAACCGTATTGCGTATAACTTTCTCCGGCCCATGGCAGGGTCCCCAAACCTGAAAGAAGCAATATTTCACTCTAAGAACTGACAGTACAAGTTATTTTCAATAAAATATTTTTAAGGATGGCTCTGTCGAAACGCTACTAATGAATTAATTATGCACTCATTCAGTGGAAATGCTGGAGAAATCTGATTTTCACAGTTAACCTTATACTTGTACAAATTGTAAGTACAATGTTTTGACATATCAATGCGGCAAAACAAATATAATGTATTGCAAACTTTGGACAATGCATTTCTTTATCGTGGACCAGTTTAAACGATGATTACAGCGAGAAGATAACTTTTCTTTTGAGATTCTTATATTATGCTGATTCTTCCTCTAAAGATTCTGACAATAACGCTTATATATTTTAATCAACAACGCAGGTTTAGGAAACTTATAGGTTGCAACTCTAAATCGGGCGTAGTAGAGACATTTTCAAAGTTGAAATTATTTGCTGGCTTTGCATTGCTTACCGCTTCTTGTACAAGCCCCAATAAGACTTATGACGTTAGGATGATCACCAACAGTAACCATGATTTGAAGCTCGTTTATAAGGTCCCTTGTCTCTCGTTCTGTTGCATTCACTGTAATTGAAAAAAAAAAAAAAANCAATGTTTTGACATATCAATGCGGCAAAACAAATACAATGTATTGCAAACTTTGGACAATGCATTTCTTTATCGTGGACCAGTTTAAACGATGATTACAGCGAGAAGATAACTTTTCTTTCGAGATTCTTATACTATGCTGATTCTTTCCTCTAAAGATTCTGACGATAACGCTTATATATTTTAATCAACAACGCACGTTTAGGAAACCTATAGCTTGCAACTCTAAACCGGGCGTAGTGGAGACATTTTCGAAGTTGAAATCATTTGCTGACTTTGCATTGCTTACCGCTCCTTGTACAAGCTCCAATAAGACTTATGACGTTAGGATGATCACCAACAGTAACCATAATTTGAAGCTCGTTTATAAGGTCCCTTGTCTCTCGTTCTGTTGCATTCACTGTAATTAAGAAAAAAAAAACAGAACATTTTTAACGACAATTTCTAATTTATTATTTAACCGTGGTTTCAAATAATGGTATCACCCACGCAGCGTCCACACTATGCCGTAGAAATTTGAAAACGTAGCTTTAATTTGTTTCTCCGGTTAGGCCTACCGGCCACACTAATCCGTCACGAAAAACGCGGGCTTTTCGTTATCGTGTGGACGGAAAACATTTTGCAAACGGAGCTTTTTGAAAACGATGGCGTCATGGTAATCTTGTGATATCCCTGACTGAGTTTTCCTCAAAGAAAAATCCGAAATAACCGATGATTGTTGCGTTTTTAGATTCTTCCGGTCTAGTGCGGACAGAATCTGACTATCTGTTGTGTTTTCAAAGTGAAAGCGCCGTTTTCATATTTCTCTTGCATAGTGTGGACGGTTCCTAAGCAGCCTCAGTTTTCATACTGACTAGCTTGTGTTTGCCGGATTTGTTGCCTGCCTCTTTTTAATAATCACAATATTCTCATGCCATTCTGTCTTTAGGTTAGGGTTAATTCGAAGTCATCATGATGTTCAGTGAGTAGGTTACTAAGTTTCATTTACTCACACAAAACGCGTTACCTTTCAGCTTTTTTACGGCACATTCACGCCATTGTTTATCGACTCGCACCAAACCTTTATAAGCTTCACCAAACGCGCCTTCCCCAAGCTTGTGCTGAAGTTGAACATCTGATGGGGTAAATTCAAGCCAATCTCCACCCATGATTTTCATCGACAACTGTGTCTAGGCGAGAAAAAAAAAACCCTTGTTTGCTTTAACAGACCGAAAAACAATGTCCTGACCGTCAGTCCATGCCCCCGCCCCTTCATTTCCGTATACAAGCCGATCGGACTTTTCTATATTTACTACGTTAAGTTCTCACAGAACATTGTACTTCAAAGAGAAATAGACAATGAGTAACTATGCAAGGAGAATACAGATCAACGCCCTTTTTCAGAATCAGTCTTCCTCCCCAGATGCCATGAAATGCAAGCTCCCCAGTTATAAGCTCAGCCAAAGCCCGCCTACACGAACTTGTTTAAGCCTAGGGCTTACAGCTTGGATCTGCGGCCCACTCACTCAGCTTAACTTAATAAATAGAATACGTCAACGGTTTGCTTACCTCATACTTCTCCGGTTTTGGTTTGCCACATGGTCGAACATTTATGCACACAACAACAATAAACAAAACGGCTAGGCTTAGCGGCAACACGATGATCAACAACAAATCCCGGATGAAGTTGTCTGTAAACAAAAGACAACACATGCTGACACATGACACAAACTTGTTTATTGTTTGTTTTTCTCGACATTTAAATACAGAGCAATTAAGACTACAGATGAAAAGAAAAAAAAAAGAGATAAAGACCGGGGTAAAAATGAGTTTGATTTTCATCTTTTGAACTATTTATGTTAACCCAGGTTTTAGCTAAGGGTGGGTTTTTTCTTCTTAGAATTGGGCTGTGCTAACTCAGAATCAACCATTTACCTATGGCATTTGCTAGAATTTCGTCGATACGGCGGCCATTTTTCATCTAGCTATTATGGGATGCTTAGGGTGCAAATACATACTAATTTACCCCTACGCATCCCATAATAGCTTTTTGAAACAACAGAATTCAAAATGGCTGCCGTATCGCCGAAAAGGTCCATTACCTTTATAGAGCGGTTTTCACTTGAGTGTCGATAAGTAATTGGATTTGCATTACTACACTACACGATTGGCTTCAGAAATTCGCGCCACTCTTAAACCAATCAGAAGTAAAACCAAAACCAATCGTGAAGCGCTTGCACACGTTTTCCCGCCCTTCGCGTCAGGTACCTGTGTTTGTTAAGGAACGAATCATGTTAATGTTTCACCGTTTCAGCGGTTGTCGCGGTGATTTGTCTGATTGTATCGCGGGCGCATGCCCTCTTGACCAAATATAGAGACTCAGTAAGCCATTTTGTATTAGCATCGACCTCGTGGTTCAAATAAATCTTGTGGAATCTTCGACTCTGAGTTATTGCCTTGCCACGAATTTGACTATTCTACCGTGTGGGAACAGTATTTACTTCGAGTTTTGATTGGTTAATTGAATTGTTTGTTTCTTTTGTGACTGACTAGAGTGATTATTTTGGTTTTGGTTTTACGTCATGCACTTGATTGAAAACGTTATAACTTATGACAATAATTACCTGAGAGCGTTATAATTTATGCTAATAATTACCAGACAGTCTTATAATTTATGATACTAATTACCTGGCAACTTCATAATTTATGATAATAATTACCTGATAGCTTTATAATTTATTATACTAATTACCTAGCAACTTTATAATTTTAGAATGAAAATTAGCGATATGAAAAGTGAACGACGTTTCGATGACTCCATGTCATCATTATCAAGTTCGAAATACATGATAGAATTGAATAAAT